CAGCAATGTTAAAAACTTTATACTGTGATTTGCCATTTTTTCAGTCCAGCCAGTAGGATAGACTGAAAAGCAAAAATATCTGTAAAAAATCGAAGTATCAAAGATGTTCATTAAGATTTAAAACAAAACCCTCTGATGCTTCAGAGTTCTGTTGATGGTAATAATTTTCATACATTATCATTGATAAGTGCTACTTAATAAAGCATCACTAATTTTCTCAACAGATTTTATTGATGGATGCCATTTTCTGCAAAATTTAACACTGAAAACAGTGTTCATAAGTCCAAAACATTCTTTTGCTTTCCATCACAGTTCAGCTATCATGTGATATTTCAATATATGTCAGTTATTTTCTGAAAGTATTTTTTAAGAAGAGGCAATAATATCACAAGATTACGTAACATTTTTTATTATATTTTGGTATGGAGAATAGCTTTCAGAAAAATGAAGAATTTCAGTGCAAGCAGTAAAGGTGGATGATCCTTTGAATATGTGTGGAAGCTATTCTGAGCCTTCATACAATGTAACTCACAATGTCAAAAGAAAATACTTGGCATTCCGCATTGTTATCAGGAAAGCTCTAGATAGTTTATTGCATGTTGATTGTATTGATTACAGCTGGAGGCATTGATAGCATAAATAGTGTCTTTAATTAGTCAGAATGTGTGATTAGCTTTTCTGTTTTAAGGAGATAAACTAGCTTCTTAAAGAAGTTCCCCAAAAAATATTCTTTATTCAGTTGGGAAAAAAAAAAAAAACACAATAAATGGGAACCACAGGCCACAGTCTGCATTTCTCAGAGTATTGCCAGTTGTCTCCATGCTGGGCTCTACTTTTAGGCAAAGTGTAAAAATTTTTCAGGATTTTTTTTTTTTTATATATTAACTCATACACTCTGTCTCACACACACATGCTTTAGCTGCTTCCTAAAAGCAACCGCAGATTTCGTTGTGGAAAGGCCTGTCTTGACTGCTAGACTACAGCATCTATCAGAATTACCACTGTAAACCCACTTTTCAGAAGTATATCAATCAACTGCCAGTATTTACTCTGCTGCAATTTCGCCAACAAGATTTCAGCACACATGAGATTTTTTAAAGTTTTTTTTTCAAAAATTTAGGAAAAGCTGATTTAGACATTGCTAACTAACTTGTGTAAGTAATAAACCAGTTTTTGATATGTATTGTGTAAAATGTTTCAACCTTAAAAGGAATAGTAAGTCAACAATTAATCCCTAATACTGTAGCGTTTTGATTACTTGTCTTTGTGGGAGGGGGTTGAATAGCAAAACTATTAGTTTTTCTTGGACATTAAGAGAAAAACACATGAACTGAATCTAGACTGTCTTAATTGGAAATATTAAGCTTGCCAACACATCTCTGTTGCCTCTATCATAAATAAAAACTCCTTTGCCTCCCTTTAGAAACATCAAAATCCCTAGATCCTACACTTGCATCTCCTAGTGAAAACAGTAATTCATCTACTGAATCAGATGCATCAAAGTAAATATAAAGATGAAACTGAACAATTCTACATGAGAATTGTCTCCAATAAATACAGGGCAAAATCAAAGACAAAATCATCCAGCTACTCACAAATCATCCCATCTCTGATTTCTCAGATTTGATCTCTCAGGAGGACCTTCCAGAAATAAGACTTCAAAATTAAATTTATGAATTTCATGAGTAATAAGAACGATTAATTTAACAGAAATAAGGGTTTGATGACACATGATTACCTTGCTCCCTCGATGTTCTCTAAATGAATTGTCTCTTTCTTTTCCATTGGAGGTAATTGCCTTATTATTTTTCTTTCCTTCTTACTACACCCTCTCTGCTTTCCAGGTACTAATTACTTTCTTTAGAAATTCTCTGATACATATTTTATATGAAAAACACGTATCTTTAAATTCTTCTGGTTTGTGCCAGACCTGTAGAACTGCATATGTACTCTAAAGCTTCTTTCCTTTTCTCACTGCATTTATTGGTCTGACAGTGATAATTCTCTTTAGAAGCAGGCACCGTCTTTCCTCTGTCCTTGCACCACTTTAGCTTGAGCAGTCTTCCTAGCAGAAATACTCTAGTTGTTCTCTGGATCTCAAACATCACTGGCTTTTTAAAAAGCTGTAGTCAATTTGGAAGAAAAGGTAGCTTGGGAAGCAGAGATATAGATGAGCACTAATAGTTCTTCCTCACCTTCGCTAAAATTACTGCACTTTCTCCAAGCGATTGCCTTTGCTGACTTTGTGTTTCAGGGCAATTGGAGACAGTCAGGTAAGTGATAATGCTTCGTACTCTCTGACCACATCCTATGAGCATGGTCAGACTCCAGTCTTAGGCTTTTGTTGGCTGATCCTGAGGCAGCACAAACCACACGTGCAAGTGGCGGATATCATAGCATGCATTTAACTGTTATTCCTAAAAATTTTTGAATCTTTGATGTAAACAAAGAGTCTTTGGCTGTATTCAGGGAATGCAAATATGGTGAGCAGCGACAGAGCGCGCTAATAATGAGATGTCTAGGCAAGTGTGTTGCTGTGTGGATTAGTTGTACCAGTTCTCACTGGTATTAGCTGAACAGCAGAAGAGGAGGAGGATTGCTTTTGAAGTTGGCCATATATGTGAAAATAATATGATGGTGTAAAAAAAATTTGAAGTATGTTTTTTACATGTTGAAATGATGGAAAATTCAATATCTCTTCCTTTAAATGTGCTATACTACTTGCTGGATTTCTACACCAGCAGTTCTGTTTCCTGAGGCAGAAAATTAGTTTTTTCCTTTTTGACTGCAAACAGATAGGTGGTTGTCCCCTGATTCACCCCAGATTATGTGTACATGCCAACAGGAGATGATGTGGAATCAATAACAAGTCCAAAAGTAGCAGAAAAACTAACAAAAAAGAAAAAAGCAATTGGCATATTTTAGCAATTATAACACATGACTGAGCATTGCCAGATTTCTCTGTCAGAAGCAAATCTTACATGAGATCGTTGAGGCTTTCCAGAAAGTAGAAGTACATTACCTGCTTTCTTGGTGTTGGACAATTGAGTTGAGACAATTACAGTCTGACAATGTAAAGAAATCTGTCAAGCTTTGGAAAAATTCATCTCTTCTAGAGGAGGCTGTGGATGTTGAAGTTACCCCTGCAGCTCTGGCTAATCTCCCTGCCCTCTAGCACAAGTTTGCGTGCATAGCATTTTTGTGCCAGCTGTTGGAACAGTCATGGCCGGACATAAATTGAATCAACCCCAAAACAAGTTGCATTTACTCTGTAGAGCTGCACTGTTCCCATCAGCATGAAGCAAGCACAAAGGACTTTAAAGATCCCTTTTCACTTCCATTCCCCTTACCTTGTGGTGAAATAGGTTAGTCAGAAAGGATGGATCTAGTTCTGGCAAAATTAGATGATTTACTGAAGTCCCTCAAATCTGTGTTCAAGTGTTAACTTGCAATTATTTAGTCTAGTTAATGGTTATACGGAAGCTTTAATGTGTTATAGCTCTTTACTGTTGAAGAGGATAGATGGAAACTTAAGGAAACATCATCTGTGCAGTGTTCAGAGATTAGTTTCATATATGAACAGAATTACAAGATTTGGTCACCTGCACAAGGAATTTCTTAACTTTGTAACTTAGATATGTCCTTCTAGGTCTGTCTTTCTCTGATTGATTGTATAATATGAGTGACTTTTTCAGTGAAAAAATCTGCAATTCAGTTTGCAATAAAAAGCAGTAACAATAACAATAAAAACAACCGTTGTTCTCCTTTCTTTGAGCTTTAACAATCAAAGACAGTGTATCATAAAGTGTATGTGAAATGAACATTGAACTTTGCATGAATATATGATAATGTGAAAATCATTTTTAAAAGCTATCACAAAGTAGTGTTCAGTAGAGACATAAATTGCCTATTAAATTGAATGGGTGAAGAAGGTCCATCCTACCTCCTTATGATAAAGATCCCCTCAAAATTTTTTTGTTTGCAGAAGGAAAATAGATATGTGACAGCTGTGATGAGAAGTCCTCTGCATAGTCTTGCCAGTAGCTAAAATCATGTTAGTCTCAAAAACAATTTTTTTTATTTATAGCATATGACATTTTATAACAATAAAAATGTTATAAGCAATTGTTTATAATGTATTTACTTAACCTTTTTTCCAATATCAACAATATTATCAACAATAACATCCTGACTCAATCCAATGTTTCCTTCTTAAAAACACTAGACAACTGTTAGTATTGTACTCTTAGCTCTGATCACTAATTCCATCCCTTCATTGAAAAATTGTAAAGGTAGATTAAGCTGGAAAGGTTAAATTATTTAATACAAACCAGGTGTCCCACAGTTAATGAGCACTGAGTTGGTATCGCACTGTTGGTGGCATCCATCTCATGGTTAAGTCCAGCTCTAACTCAGGAGCCGTCCAGACTGTGAAAGATATACCGCTTGCTATGTCACACTGTTACAGGGGACTCCAAGCAGTGCCAAGGCAGTGGTAACCAAACACATCTCTTGTGGATGTCTTTAAGCCTTTTTCCTTAGAGAGGGTAAGGATTTTGGATCAAATTGACCCCCAGAGTCTCTGGTCAAACACAAGTTGTTCATCCCATCTTTATTCCTCAGAAGACGACTCTCATTAAGTCCCATAGGCTTTCAAAGTATAGCTGTGTGCATTATGGATCACACCTCACGTACGCCTTTTTCTGAGAGCACTACCAGCTGAAATCTGCAAAGTAAACCTAACCTAAAACACAGATTTGTAGTGTGAACAGACCAGGTGAAAAGGCTAAGGAAGGAAGGAAGTCTTCATATTTAAGAATCGTCTTAACTGTAAAGTTTAATTTTAAAATAATAAAACCCAGCTTGATTTTGTTTCATAACACTCGATGGCCTGCAATTGCCATTAAAAATTTTGGGGTTTTTTAATAATCAAAAGAATTAGAACTAATAGGAACACAAACTGTGTTTTTATGAATGATATTTTGTTTTGTATTTTTCAGGGACTGGTTGAACATGTTCAGTCCCCCCATCATTCCTGGAAGCCAACAACTGGAAGAGCACACTAAATCTTCAGCAAATCAGAGTGTTCCAGGTAGGAATTTATGAAGACAATGGAAAGGACCTGAGTAGAAAGACATTTTTAAATGCTGTTTCTGTAGTGCCGGTGCTGCCTTTTCTATAGTAGTTTTCTATACTGCTACATTTTGGTTCCAAGTTCTCTTATTTATTATTCTCAGCTCAAGCTGGCAGAGTTTTCCATGCAGTATTACTTGCCTCTTATAGAAGAATAATTTATGCAGTTGCAGTTTCATAATGTTCTGGCTTGATACACAATAAGTCATAAAAAATGCATCTTATTTGTTTAAAATAAGGAATTTTTGCTGGTGGGGATGGCAACCCTATGAAAGAAAGAACATAAAGACTAAATATTCTTATTCAGAAGCACAATTACACTTACGTAAGTGATACATCTCTTATGAAGAAAAATTTCAGATTTAGCCTTAAAGGAAATTGCAGCATGATATCCTGAGTCAAGACTGTTATCACCAGCTAAAGTGCTACAGGTTTTTCTTTATTAATGGCGTTTGCTTGGAGAATGACAAAGAACTTAGCTGAAACTGGAAAGTCAACAACAATAGAATAAAACAAATACCTTCTTTTCTTCAAATGCCCCTTTTTCTTATTGGTTGTCTTAGGAAACAGGGTAGATATCTACATTTTTCTTGAAGTCTGGGGAATTCAATGTGAAATCTCATAAATCTGACCTGTGTATTTTGACTGCCTGAGGGATGAAGATGTCTCAGTGATTTACTGTCGAAAATAGATTATGCCCCTCAAATTGGAAATGTTTTCATAGATGTATATTTGTAATTGTTTATGACAGCAAAATAGAATTTTGCTGTCAGGAAGGGACCTTGCTTTGAAGCATCAAATAATATGTTTTGTTAAGGGTCCTAAGTAAGCCAAAGAGAATTGGACAGTAATCCTTGAGTTAAAGGCATGTTGGATATAAATTTCTGATAGGTGTCTCAGAATTTTTTTATGTTAGTATCAAGAAATCCAAGACTTGCTGCAGTAAAGCTAGAATTTTTGCAAATTTTAAAAATTCTGTTATCTTTAAAAAGCTTTTAAAAATAAGTATACTTGGGAAGTTGTTGGATTTCTTCTATTATTCACACTAGAATTTGCAAACTGTTTTGTGAATTGTTCCTAAACTCATTTTCTTTTATGCTGAAATATTTTACATCATGTGTCTGTGATTGCACGTTTGGAGAACAGACAATCTCTGTATACATTAGCTTTTTATTTTGGCTTTTTATTTTTGTGCCTTTATTCAGTCAAATCAAATTCTGACTCACGTATATATATGATATTTGTAATTTTGATAACTTTACACAGAAAGAAATCCTAGAAACACTATCTCCAAATACTCTAAAAAAACTGCTGTACTGTTGAAGTGATCAAGCTTCATTTCCCCAAGAAGTTGGAGAAAATAAGAGAGAACAGCAAAGCTGTTCCCTCCCCAAACAGGCCAGTTTGGATTTTTTCTGAACTACTAGACACCCTTCTGAATTAAAGTAGCAGATAAGAAGCCGAGTAATCATAGCAGCTGTGGGAAGGGGAGGCCTGGTTGGCAAAGTGAGGGGGTACCTGTACAATATACAGCATCTTCTTCCAATTCCATACCTCCCTTTCTGATTGTTTACGGTCCTTGGCAAATAACGTCCTTGCACTATATTGAGAGAAAACTGGTATGGTTTTGCTCACATAAAAGATACAGTTAAGTGGAACCCAGATCTTTAGATGTAATATGGTGGTGTGTGAAAATGCTGTGCTGTGTCAGATTGGGTTGTACCCATTAACTATTAGAATCTGTGTGTTTTAAAAAAATCTTAATGGACAATATTAGTTAGATGGTTTGGAGTATCATTTTTGAAAGAGGCGCTAAATAGATCTTGTCCCGTGATACATCTTTTGCACTTCAGAAAAAACTTTTTTTTCTTCTTAATCACTTTACTTGAGGTTAGTTATTTGTGTGATGAAATAACCATTTTATTACTGACAATTAAGTATCAGATCTGATCAACAAACTGAATGCTCAGATTCATTCCAGGAAATTCTGCTGCCCTACTCACTTTTTGGTGGGTTTGTGGTTTTTTTTTCCAGACATCACATTAGAAAATTAGTTATTTCTTATGTTGGAAAGTGACTTAAGTGTCATGATTATTTTTTGTGTGTGTGCAGTTTTCCAGTATTCCAGGTATCACAGGATAACAAAAGCATATTATCAGTACTGAAAATCTGCAGTGAGTCATAATGTATTCAAGATAATTAATTTTATCTGAAAGTACCCTTAAAGAAAAATAGATAGTATATTTATTAAAATTCTTTAATTCTATATTTAGAAAAAATCTTTAAGTTGGAGCATAACTTTGGGGAAAAAAGGTGATTTGTTTCTAAGAAAACACTTTACTCTGTAGTTCGTTTCTTAATGTTTGCACTATCCATAGTACAGAGTTAAACA